GATATTTGAGGTTTACACAGCTACATTCTCGCCTGAAAATATGTTAAACGTTTATTTTGTGACCCAGAAAGAATAATAAGAGTAATATTAAAACTAACTAGCTACCGCCATTGTTGGCCGCGCTATGAATTCTGGGACACAGCTGCTTCTTCTTCTTCGGGGTTTAACGGCAGCTGGCATCCTTGTACATGCTGTGCTGCCATCTTCTGTTTCAGTCCGTTATTACACTCTTAAATCCTGCTATTATTCCTGCGTCTTTTGCGATCTTACAAAGCTTCAAACGACACGTCGACTATTAAATCAGTCGTCGACGATTTTGATAGTCGACGTAATCGTGACTAGTCGACAAATCGTGGCAGCCCTACCTTTAAGACTTCCTAAAATGTTGTGGAGTTGTTGTTGTTGTTGTTGTTGTTGTTTTTGTTGTTTTTTTTCTTTCCTCTCAGGGTTATGTTAATTATTTATTAGAAGTGGCAATGAAGTGAAGGATATCGAGTCTAGCTGAGAAAAAGACCAGGAGCTTGTTAATAAGTGCTGGATAGCCATAACAGAATTGGTTGTTAAATGTGTTGCTGTATTGCTGAGGTCACTAGAGAGCAGCGCTCTTGTTGCTTGTTTCCTTGACTCCCAAAACCCCTCAGGAAAATGTGTTTGGACAAAGAATCTGTGGGGACATTTCTTCTTTTTTTTTTTTTTTTTTTTTTTCTTCCCCCCTGCTTTCCCCCGTGGCTTATATGGCTTAGTTTGCCAATGTTCCAGTGGCTCTCAGGAATTCATCGCTCCCTCATTACAAGTTCAAATTGGCGTGTTTGATATGACCATCTAACTTGTTTTCTTTTTTTCCCTGTACGATTAAAAGAAAATTGCTCAGTCATTATGCATTGTGAAGCTCGCATGCATAGAAAGAACCCCATTGTGTTTACATTACTTAACAAAATTTCTCAGCACACAGCTATAACAGTGGTGGTGGAAAAAATAAATACAATGCAGCAGTGCCTCTGTTTGACTGAGCAATAGCTCCCATTCAAAGCTGAACAAAGGTTCTCTGAACTGTCATTTAGCCTTTAGTAGAAGGGGAACAGGAGATGGAGGAGGCATTCTTACACCAGATGTGTAATGTGAGCTCACCTTTAGGTCTGCAAAGACTGGTCATTGTGGATATTGCCATACAGTGGGGCAAAAAAGTATTTAGTCAGCCACCGATTGTGCAAGTTCCCCCACTTAAAATGATGACAGAGGTCAGTAATTTGCACCAGAGGTACACTTCAACTGTGAGAGACAGAATGTGAAAAAAAAATCCATGAATCCACATGGTAGGATTTGTAAAGAATTTATTGGTAAATCAGGGTGGAAAATAAGTATTTGGTCACCTCAAACAAGGAAAATCTCTGGCTCTCACAGACCTGTAACGTCTTCTGTAAGAAGCTTTTCTGTCCCCCACTCGTTACCTGTATGAATGGCACCTGTTTGAACTCATCTGTATAAAAGACACCTGTCCACAGCCTCAAACAGTCAGACTCCAAACTCCGCCATGGCCAAGACCAAAGAGCTTTCGAAGGACACCAGGAAAAGTATTGTAGACCTGCACCAGACTGGGAAGAGTGAATCTACAATAGGCAAGCAGCTTGGTGTGAAAAAATCAACTGTGGGAGCAATCATCAGAAAATGGAAGACATACAAGACCACTGATAATCTCCCTCGATCTGGGGCTCCACGCAAGATCTCATCCCGTGGGGTCAAAATGATCATGAGAACGGTGAGCAAAGATCCCAGAACCACACGGGGGGACCTGGTGAATGACCTGCAGAGAGCTGGGACCAAAGTAACAAAGGTCACCATCAGTAACACACTACAACGGCAGGGAATCAAATCCGGCAGTGCCAGACGTGTTCCGCTGCTGAAGCCAGTGCATGTCCAGGCCCGTCTGAAGTTTGCCAGAGAGCACATGGATGATACAGAAGAGGATTGGGAGAATGTCATGTGGTCAGATGAAACCAAAGTAGAACTTTTTGGTATAAACTCAACTCGTCGTGTTTGGAGGAAGAAGAATACTGAGTTGCATCCCAAGAACACCATACCTACTGTGAAGCATGGGGGTGGAAACATCATGCTATGGGGCTGTTTTTCTGCCAAGGGGACAGGACGACTGATCCGTGTTAAGGACAGAATGAATGGGGCCATGTATCGTGAGATTTTGAGCCAAAACCTCCTTCCATCAGTGAGAACTTTGAAGATGAAACGAGGCTGGGTCTTCCAACATGACGATGATCCAAAACACACCGCCCGGGCAACAAAGGAGTGGCTCCGTAAGAAGCATTTGAAAGTCCTGGAGTGGCCTAGCCAGTCTCAGACCTCAACCCCATAGAAAAGCTGTGGCGGGAGTTGAAAGTCCGTGTTGCTCGGCGACAGCCCCAAAACATCACTGCTCTCGAGAAGATCTGCATGGAGGAATGGGCCAAAATACCAGCTACTGTGTGTGCAAACCTGGTAAAGACCTATAGTAAACGTTTGACCTCTTGTTATTGCCAACAAAGGTTATGTTACAAAGTATTGAGTTGTATTTTTGTTATTGACCAAATACTTATTTTCCACCCTGATTTACCAATAAATTCTTTACAAATCCTACCATGTGGATTCATGGATTTTGTTTTCACATTCTGTCTCTCACAGTTGAAGTGTACCTCTGGTGCAAATTACTGACCTCTGTCATCATTTTAGGTGGGGGAACTTGCACAATCGGTGGCTGACTAAATACTTTTTTGCCCCACTGTAAATGTCTCAAAGTGAAGGCACAGCTGGAAGCAAAGCTAGGTATTGCAAGTAGCGGGTGAGTTGGAGCGTTTTAACCTTTGTGTTTTGATAACTGTGCTGCGTCTACTGTACACAGCGTGGAGCGGTATGACCCTAGCAAGGATGCCTGGGAAATGGTAGCCCCCATGGCAGATAAGAGGATCAACTTCGGAGTAGGTGTGATGCTTGGATTTATATTTGTGGTGGGTGGACACAACGGAGTGTCGCACCTGTCCAGCATCGAGCGGTACGATCCACATCAAAACCAGTGGACGGCGTGCCGACCAATGAACGAACCCAGAACTGGTGAGTTTTGAGTTTTAAATTCAAAATGAGTGACACTATTGTGATGGTTGGATCCAGAAAATAACACGAAAAGCCTATAATGAGAGATGTTTGTGGTATTGTTGTCTTCCAGGTGTGGGCTCTGCCATTGTGGACAACTACCTCTATGTGGTAGGAGGTCACTCCGGGTCATCCTACCTGAACACTGTTCAGCGTTATGATCCCATCTCAGATAGCTGGTTGGACTCCAGTGGCATGATGTACTGCCGTTGTAACTTTGGTCTGACTGCCCTTTGACCCATGGCCCAGCCAGCTAGGACCCAATAAATTACCTTAGACACAAAGAAGACTTTCTCTCTTTTTATTATTTTATTTTTTTGGCTCTCCTCCTCCTTCCCCACATTCATCCTCCAGGTGCAGATGAGCTTGCCTGCACATTTTCATTAACATCAGAGAGCATTTCTGGGTGGATGGGTGTACCGGGCTAGCTGGCTGGCTAGAAGGGGGACTGCAGTCCATGCTGCAGGGATGAGGAAGAGCTGGAAGGTTCTGGAGATGACGGAGGAAGGTGGATGGTGTTTGGATGACTGTCACTGGAAAACTGAGATGAACGCTCTATTGCTGCTGGACCACAATGAGGACTTCGAGCTATGTCTCAGAGGATTGTGGAATCTGCTTATTTACGTTACAAAATTCTTCGTCAAGTTTGCAGACAGTGTTATGTTGTGCTTCACGTCCTTAATTGTGTTAAACTTTTTTTGTTTTGTTTAGGAATTTTTCTGCTGCAACCAGAGCTGTGTGTTCAAATTTCCTAGAACACTGCAGTTTGCTTGTGCATTTGATGACTATGTGGTTATTGGCCATATAGTGTGTATGTCTGTGTGTATGGTCCAGGGGGTATGTGCATGTCAGATAGAACTTTTGTTTTATCACATGTCTGCGTGCAGAACTGATGCTTGGGCTCAGCAACGCAGGATAATTCTGCATCCACATCAGTGCTTGACAAAAAATAGAAAAGTTGGAATATTTATATTTTCTCAAAAAGGGCTGCCTTTCTCTTGTAAATGGTCTAAATGAAATATATAGATATAAATATATCCTCTAGTGCATTGCCTGTAAATGTTCTTCTGCACTGGCTCACTAATGTGTGTACAGTTTGATTCCCACAGCCACTGTAGAGGTGAATTCTCCTTAAAGTGTTCACCACTAGTCTCTGCTTCATCCTCTGAGCCATTTAAAAACTCAAAACAAAAAAGTTAAAAAAAAAAAAAAAAAGGGTCTCATATTCTCTCCTCTGTTGCATCGGTCTAAGGTCAGATCATGCACTTGCTACTGTTCACAATAGTTGAAACTGACCTTGGCCTTCTTTTCACCTTTTTTGGTCTGTATACAATACTAACTGGTGCTATATTTAGGATTCAGGATTTAGCTGTTTGTCTGCGTTGCTTCATCCAGTTAATGTCAAACTCTGTTAGGCCTCTGCTGTGTAACTGGTGATAGTTATTTGCTATCGTATGAATTTCATTGGAGAAAATGCAAGTGGCCCCTAAAGCTACTAAAAGGGAAGCCTGTGGGCCAACAACTGCAAACTTCTACCTGCATAGTCCCCAAAGGCGAGAAGATTGGCATGATTTCATTCTTTTCTTTTTTTTCTCCCAAATACTTCAAACTTTTTTTTTAAAAATGTTACACTTTCTCCATTATTGGTCCAGTTGCAGGATGTGAGCATGCTTTGTCAACTATCTGTAGCTGGTATCCTCTCTTGGCTTTGAACACGATTTTATTTGTGATTGGGTGGGACATTTCTGTGCTAGTTAATCCTCCTCTAAAAACATGTCTACACGTGGCCAGGTCTTGCTTGCAAGCTTAGGTTTTAAAATATATATATATATATATATATATATATATAAATAAAAATAAGCACCAAGGGCTGTGCTTGCCAGCTCTGGCCATGTTGTTACTGTCACCAGCCCTGGGAGAGAGTTCAAAGCGTGCAACTACGCTCGAGTGACTGCACAGTAATAGAGGGGACACTCGATTAGCAGACGGCCAGGTAGTGATACGTCTTAAGTCACTTGTTTTATGTTCAAGGCATGGGTTGTTGGTTGTTGTGTGTGTTGTTTTTGTTTTGTTTTTTTGGTTTTTTTTGCGTTGCTTTGTGGACTAATGTTTGCACATTAACCAAGCTCTGCATTGCACTTACCAAACTATTTGATACATATTGTAATTTCTATATGTTTTGATTTAAGCTAATGGCATTTAGATACTGCAATAAGACTTGTTTCCTTTCGTGGGTTAAATTATGTTTTGTTGTTTGTCTCTAGAATAAGGCCAAGGCATCTTATGTTGGTGTAAGAGAACCCCCACATAGCATGTCTGTCAGATCACACTGTTGGCTGGTGATGTCCAAATGAAACATCAGACGGTAGCTTGACATTGTCTAAACCAACCAGTCATCCTATGTTGTCATTTTTGTTGTGCATGCTGGTTCATTTTGCACAAAGCCTGTGTTTATTTGGATCAATTTAGATTAATTTTTTTCCTGCAGTTCAGCACTTAAGTCTTGTAAACACTACATAGGTGTGTTCTTTCACCTTGCCCTTGTTTACTTTAAACTAAATCTGTAAGATGAGAAGTTAAATGACATTTGCCGTGCAAACTGGTCAGTGTCACATGTGAGAATCGCGGTTTGTCATTGATTTGTTTCCTTTTTTTTTTTTTTTTTTCCCCCCCCAATCAAAGTAAAGTACTTTGAATTTCTGATTTACCGCTATTTGAAAAGTAACACAACTTAATTTGTACGTCTGTACACTTTATTTCAAAACAGCACAACTATCAATTTTGTATTTAATTTGTTTTGTTTGTGTTCTCTAAATTCTTGTTTGTTTTTTTTTTGTCTGTTGTAGTAGTGTTTGTCACTTTAGCACTGCAGCCACGGCACAGAATCACGCAGGCGTAATTGTGCGCCGTCGCCGCTGCCACGATTCATCTTGTCACTGTTATGTACATATGTTGCCATTTCTGATGTGTATACTAACTATTTTAAGGTTGGAGAGAGGCTGATGAAAATCTGGAAACGTGAATCTGCAAAAAAAGAACAGATGTATACTTTTTTTTTTCTCTCTTTAAATTATGGCCTAAATTAATGTCATGTTTTGCCACCACTCTCACCAAAGTGCTTGTACAAAGAAAGCAGATGGATGACTAACACATGTTCTGCAGTGGCCTACCACTCTGTTTATGTCTGAGGGGGGAGGGGGGGGGGGTGAAATCCTATGAAACTGATGTCAATGTTAGCCAAAATGACCACTCTGCTTCTTTTTACATTTCCTTGTGTGTCTGGAGTAAGGTGATGATCTTGAATTTTATATCCTGTGGATTAATACTGGAAGTACAAGATAACATTAGGTGTTTAAAAACAGTAGCTTTTCACATTTTCTCATGTTTGACTGAAGACATTTTACATACATTTAAGTCTGTTTATGTGGTGCAGCTGTACCCAGTTTAAAATAAATGCCTGCCTTAAAAAGGTACTGCCTGCTTTTTCTGCATCTCTTCCTGGCATGCATGTGAAAAAGGACGATAAACTGGAGCCATAGGCAAGGTTTCAAAAATATCTGTATTTGTATTGTAAAGACAGTGTCAGCATATAAACAAACAGGGGGGAAAAAAAAACTTAAAATCTTGACCCAAGAATTAACTCTCAACTGGATTCATGTTAAACTTTCCTTGAGAGAGGCACTGTGTGACAACAGTAATGCTTTGACTTAAACCAAACCAAACACTAACATAACATTTTGAGACTGCTGTGTGCTGAACAAGCTGTGAAATGCCTGACTTTTATTCATCGGTTTATACATGTGGCCTGAATGGATTTCTAGGCCAGCTTGTAGTGTAATTTCAGATTACTTCTAAATTGGTATAATTTTATATTTTCACCTGTTTTGGCAAATGCTTACCTCAAATTTAAACCTTAACTTGTTCACCTGGTAGGCGGGGACTTAGTAGTTTTTCCTCACCCCACAGTGTAAATGTGGGGGGGGGAGCACCAGTTTAATTTTAGGAAAGGACTGAAATGCATAAACATAAGCTTAAATTACAGTACTGCGTTGAATCCCTGTAGCAAGGGGGCTTACATTTATGTTTGTGCGCTGGTGTGTCTGCGTTGGGAATGAAATGGATCTGATCAGTGCAGGAACCAGAGAGGACTTGGGAATTGTACACAGACCTTTGGAACTATGAAGACAGGAAAAACTGTGTGTGTGTACATTAGCAGATTGTATATTTTCTTTGGCATAATGACCAAGTTTGATTCAATTGCACCCTCTGTGTCATTATGCTTGTGCTAAGTACTAACCAGTATACTGTGGTTATTATGGAAAAGCATTGCCAAACAGATGAACAACAGCTGAGAGGTCTGCATCGCTGCATGCACGGCTGGCAGGAGAGTTTTGTAAATCAACCATGGAGGTAAAAAAAAAACCCAATAGTTTTTATATTTGTACTGAAAACTTGTGTCAGTATCAACTCCAAACAGAAATTTCTACAGAGCAGTTTTACCTACTAATGTCTTATGCCGATGGTCACTGCACATGTATATGAAATTCAGTACTGACTCGTATTATTGTTTATAAATCTCAACCCTGGACTATTATAGTCCATTATATTCTTGGATTCCAAGCGTGCCCAAAAAGATGTCATTTCCATTTTGCACTGTAAGCTTTAACCAAGCATTCAGCTGAATTGAGGAAGCTAACCCAGGACAGGAATTAAAACTTATAGCAATGCAGTAAGAAAAGAACAACATTGTGGTAATGTAACAACAAAAAACTGGATGAATGCAATCACTCTGGCATGTGCTGAGACTTTGGCTCATCTGTACTCTATGTCCACCTGAGAAACTATGAGTTCACTTGTCAGAGGTGCGGACATAGACCAGAGAGGACAGCAGCAGGAGCTCTGGGGGCTTGTGTAACAAGATCAGATTATCATTCCTCAGACCGTCATAGTGCATCCAGCAACCGTCTATCTGGAAGGCTGCAGAGTAGTGATGCTCCTCCTTGTTGAACAGTGTGGCACCCTCAAGTGTGTACCTGCAGGTAAGAAAAACATTTATTGTTCTCAATACTGGAAAGTAGATTTTTCCAGATATTTTTGCTGCTCTTTTGATTTCCAATGAAAGAAATCCCAACAAATAAAGACAGGCAGCACAACAGTGCAGTGGAGAAGATCCAAATGACATTTAAAATTTAATCACTGATCAGACAGGATAGTTATCGGACATTTTTAATTTTAATGACCATCCTGCATCATAAATAAAGTTCCATTAATTCAGTTATGATGACTATGCACAGGCCTCTGGCTCAGCAGATGTAAAAGCATTAGGAGGCCGGGCTCCACCTGAGCAACATGAAGGCTACACTGCCACATCGTTTGAATGAACAGCAATGCAGAACCTACTGTAGATATATCCACCTCTGATTCATACCTGTGCTGACAGAGAGCCAGATGGTAAGGGACATACGACAGCTCCTCTGACTTCCACTGCTGCATGTTGAGGATAACAAAGGGTGGAGGGCCATGGCAGAAAATCCTCTGGGAGAATTCCCTTAGACCATCACATCTGTTTAAAATAAATAAAAAATTGTCAAGGAAGTACAACAACACAGCGCTGAAAAAGATGACGATGATGAAGATCCTGCCGTGTCTCACCCAATTTCACAGCAGAGCAGGAGCTTGGGGCAGAAGAACTCATCCACAGCTGACTGAATTGGGTCTCTGTGAGGAAGCTCGTGAGGAGGACTGAGAGGAAAAAGGGTCAGAGTGAAATTCTTAGAAATGTGAAAAATATAATGTAACAACAATCCACTCACAAACACGTCACAACACTTGATTGCAATTCTTTCTGCCAACTTTGGCATAAGACGATGCACAGCTGAGGTCTGCTGAAGGGCACTTAAACATCAAATACTGGGGGAAAAAACAAATATTTTGGGTAAAAAGCCAGCAACTGTGTCTTAACAAAACACTTGAATAGTAGGTAAATACAGTTTACCTGATGTTGATGGTACTTTTGAGGCAATCCTGGAAGCGGGCTGGACAGCTCCAGCTGGTGCACAGGCTCTCCTGCGTGGTGGACATGAGGTTTTCCAGGTTCTCTGTAAAGTTTTGGTGCTCGTTGCCAAACAGGTCGATCTCCAGGGCTGCCTGGTGGATCTCAGAGCGATACTGCCTTTTAGACATTCTGTCCCAGATCCACAGCATCTTCACTGTGGTGTAGTCACAGGAGTCCATCAGGTAGAGGAAATGCTCCACAAACTGCTTGCCCAGGAAGACAGCCAGCTCCCTGCGAAAGCCCTGGTTGTCCCGCAGAATCACATAAAGGATCATGAGGAAGCCATCGATGGTGCAGGTGTTTTTGAGCTGGATTTCCACGTACAGAGGCGTGCATGATATGGCTTTCCGTCCTGCCTTGATGGTAAAAACGCCTCCCCAAGGGAGCACAGGCCTCCAGAAGGAGCGGTCCTCCTCGTCGTTGTTGTTTATGGAGGCACGTATTTCTTCAAAAAGCGTCTTGGACCTAAAACAAATAATTAAATAAATAAATACACACACCAACCAGCAAAAGTTCAGACAAATGCGTTTTAACACAGGACGAGGTTAAATGTATCGCCCCGGTGGATTTGATCTGTTTCATTTCGAAAAACTGACGCTGTGCAAATGTAGGTCAAAAATCCTGCGATAGCAAAAACAAACCACGCAATTGGCAAGTAAAGCACTGTTACCCTCCAGGGACTAGTCGGAGCCCAACAAATGATAACAAACCATCACCTACAATATATAAGCTTACCTTTCGAAGTGTTGATTGTTCTCAGTGTTTGAAATTCGTGTTTTGAGGTCCTCAGTGTCGTTCAAAACACAGAATCTACTCTCCATTCCTCTCCGTATTTCCTCATTTCTCACGTCGGACCTCAAAGCCAGAAATATAAGTTGTGGTATTTGTCTCGCACCTTCTAGTAAACGAAGACACCTTACTGTGGATCGAAAATTGTAGTAGACGTCAAGTCTGACCTATATAAACAGTTGCTGTTAGCTTTGTAATGATATTAATCTAAGCTCTGTGTATATACAGTGCTGCCCTCTCCTGATTCTCCACGTTATTACACCCCAGTTTTGCACAGCCCCCGCCCCCGACTTCACCGTGAGCGTTAGAGCACAGCTAGAAGTGCTATTGGTCAATATATTCTAGCACGTTTAAGATGATATATGATTGGCTGTCACGAGCACCGCCCATTTAGGTAGGCCGAGCGAATATTCTACATTGAACTACGTTGTTCTATTCCTGAAAGTTAATACGCTGAACCGTAGGGTTGGTTTGTGGACGGAGTCTGCTACTTACAAGTCAGTGAGCGTGCAGACCAGCTACTACCGTCACCAGAAGAGCAGAGACCATCCCAGGGAAAGATGCCAGCTCAGATCATAAGCGGTAAAGAGGTTTCAGCGTAAGTATCAAACATTACCTTTACGAAAGCATAGGTAGCATGTGAATGTAATCAGCGTTGTGAAACATGTGACTGGCTAAAGAAGCTAACTAGCAAAGTTACAGTAACTTAACAACTGGTGATGTCTGATCTTACTCAAACGCTGTGCATCCTCTGAGGATTTTAAATGCAATCTTATATATATGAAGTAAGCAGTCTGACGCCGTGAAGTGATTTCATAACTTAGTATAATCAACAGTTTTACTGTTAAATCAGTCGCATCGGGCCGCAGAGACTGTTTACAGTGCATATGCGTTGACTCTAAATTCAGCGGAAATCTGAGTAATTCACTTTCTTAACTGGTTAGGTTTGGTCATTCATAACTTCTGAATGCATCATTGCAAATCCTGGGGTGTTATGTAAGAAGCTGTGGCGTTGTGCTCTGATCTTTGTCCTATTGGTTCACTGACCTAATTTGAAGAAGAAAAATACAATTTATACAGTCAGATATTCCAGGCAAACCCTTTTTTAAAATTATTATAATTTTTTTAAATCGAAAAACTTTGACCAGATCCAAGTAATGAGAATGAGTGGAAAAATGGCAAAAAGGCAAAATCTTTCTAACAGTAACACAAAAGACATCTAGCTGCATGTGCTTGTCACAAGATATAGCGGCCTGTATCTTGTTAAGACCGCCTCACAGTAGTTATTAGTCGATTATATTATACAATACAAAGAGGCCATGCAGCCACAGAGCCGCTCTCCCCATGGGTCATCTTTATTCATTATCTCCAAAGTTCGACAGAAGCTGACATGCTTGACTGCACACTGTATGAATGACCTGTGTTTGTAGGAACATGAGCCCTGGTTGTTTAATGAGGAAAACTTGTACCAGTCACTGTTGAGATAAAGATCTGTTATGGTACAATACTCAGTGTTGTGATTGCCTTTTCTAATTACTGGAAAGATCCCCAGGGTCACTCTGCTGGTAGATAAATAAAAAGCAAACAAGGTCATATGCAAAATACTGTACCTAAGTAACATTTAATTACCCTGTTTTATATGCATATTGTATATAATTTGTGCTATATGTTTGGAAAACATTTTCTGCACACATTATTGCATCTTGAAAAAAAAAGGGGGGGGGGGTACATAAATCTTAAGGTTAAGGAGTTTCTCTTGAGACTAAGTTTAGTTGAACTGTGTCTCAAATCAGTGCCAAAATGTATTTCATCACCACTCCTGTTACAGCTTACATGATGCACATCTGTTACCTACTTTCTTTTGAACTTTGGGTTCTTTTCTTTGTTTCATTTGCATCCACAATATGTTAAACCAAACACTTTTGTGTGCAATCAGGATTTTGGGTTTAGACACAAAAGCAATGACCACAAAGTTCAGTTAACGCAATCACTGTTTTCTCGCTTGTCTTTGATTGGTTCAGCTGATTGTATTCAACCTTTATCCGTTCTGGCTTATCTCTTCTCTGCGCAAAAAATAGTGCCATGTTTTCTAGTCTCCAGAACATTAAATCAATAAAGATAAAATGAAGACAATAACTGAAGATAAGCACGCTTTTCTGAGTGATTGTCCGGAATGATAGTTTGAGTTTGGAAAATGACTCACAATGAGATCATCAGATGGCATTGATCTGGTGCATAAATTTGTCACTGTTTTAATTAAACGGTACAGATTGGGTCACATGATACTGCTAACTCTTTTTTTGTGTTATTGCACAAATTAAATTGGCTGTATTTTGTTTTCTCAGGCAGGTGAGGGAGCGTCTGAAGAAGGATGTCGAGCAGTTGAAACTTAAGAATCCCAACTTCAGGCCTGGTCTAGTGGTTTTACAGGTAAGTTTATGATGGAATTCTTTGTGGTTGAAGGCTAAAAGCCTTTTTTCCCTAAAAACATTTCTACCCATGCTTTCATTTGGCCTTTTGTTAGAGAGAGCACCTGGCAGGTAAGGGTCAGGGTATCTGTGTGCAGTGGCACACAGATACCCTGTGTGTGCACATGAGGATTCTGACATTTATGCTGGTGCTTTGTCTGTGTGACATAGTTCCTGTTCTGTCATAGAAATATGCAGGGGGATAAGTAGTATGTGTCTTTCAGGTTGGAGACCGCGATGATTCAAATCTGTACATCAGCATGAAGCTCAAAGCAGCAGCAGAGGTAAAGAAAATAATTTTTTGATACTCAAGGGATTTTTGCACCGCGTGTGTACACTGCATATTGTTTCAATGAGCCACAGCTCTATCCCTAAGCTGCATTTTTGTGTGCAGATTGGAATAAATGCAATGCATTTGAGACTTCCCGCGACCGCAACAGAGGAGGAGGTGAGTTAGAATCATTACTGGAGGCTTGTTTATTTAGTTGTCGGG